GTTGTTATTACAGCGCAGATGACCGGAAAACTCCAATGCAGCTCACCGCATGCCAAGTAGACCATTTGGATTTTGACCTTATTTTGCGCTGTTTTTCATGCCTGCTCAAAGAATACCCTACATACTATACCCTGTCAACGCTACAGCTAGAATAGAGGGGAATAAGGTGGTTTAAAAAGCCCATTCTTTTCGAATTGTTTTTGACCTTTTTTTGACATTCCCAAAACCGTTTAGCAAAAATGAACCCCATCGCTGTGGTCCTCGCATGGACCCCTACAACATGCAACAAACCGTTTTGAAAAAGCTCACCACGGCCTGAACGACCTCCCTTGTTAGTAGACGCTGCCCTTTGCTATATCTATACTTTCTAGTCGCTGAAGCTGACGAACGCTCGAAACGCTGATGGTCGCTAGTGGAAGCTGGTGGTCGCTGCTGGACGCTGCCGCAAAGTATGAACGTAGCTTGAGGGTGCCGATGAGTTTACTGCTGCTGCGACACTAAGGTGCAGCGTTCGCAATGGTTATACAAACAAAATCATAAGGGGCCTTATTTACTTTCATTATCTTTTATTTAGCTACTGGGAAGACAGGTGACAGGTGGTGAAAGGGGAGATTATCGCAACCGTTCTCTAGAAGAGGGCGGTACTGATGCCACTATTCCACACATCGGATGATATGCTTTGTTTAGCACTTCCCTTCTCGTTGTGATGGTCCTCTGAGGGAAAATAACAATGTTTTACCGGATTGTCAGCATGGATTCAGAAAAAACAAGTCCACTGTTACACAAATGATTGAGTGCCTAAATGACTGGACGGCGGCTCTGGACAATAAAAAGGATGTTGATGTGATTTATTTTGACTTTTCCAAAGCGTTTGATAAGGTAAACCATGCAAAGCTCTTGGCAAAGCTGCACCACGTTGGGATTCATCAACGTATAATTTCGTGGATTGAATCCTTTCTTCAGGATCGCTCATTTCAAGTTCACATTAAGGGAACCTTCTCCAGTGTCAGATCAGCTCCCAGCGGTGTCCCGCAGGGGAGCGTTCTGTCACCGGTGCTTTTCTGCATCTACACCTATGACCTTCCACACCTGGTGGAGGCATTGGGAGTTACATGTAAAATGTTTGCCGATGATGTCAAAATTTATAAGCCCGTAGCAGACACTGCAGATACTACTAGAATCCAAGTAGCTATTGATGCAGTCCTCAACTGGTCTTACTTGTGGGGACTGCCCTTGGCCTCGGATAAAACATCGGTCCTCCGGTTAGGTAGGTCTGTATCTCACAATGATTACTGCTTAGGAAGCTCGGTTTTGCATAATGTTAACCAAGTCAGAGATTTGGGTTTCATTATTGACTATAAATTGAACTTTGAATCTCATTGCTCTACCATTGCGAAGAGAGCTGAATTTAGGCTTTTTCAACTTTTCAGATGCTTGTATACCAAGGATCCTTGTGTTCTTATCAGAGCCTATAAAACATATGTTCGCTCTATTCTAGAATACGGATCCATGGTCTTTTTTCCTCATTCGAAAAAGTCCATTCACCGGCTGGAAACTATTCAAAATAGTTTCACCAGAAAAGTTTTGATTCGTGCTTTGGGGTTCAATTATAATGCTATACCAAGGGGGGGGGGGTCATCAGGATA